CATCTTTGTTGGTATGTGGTGCTGAGGATCGAACCCGGGCCGCACGCATGCCAGGCGAGCGCGCTACCGCTTGAGCCACATCCCCAGCCCCTTAAAAGTCTTTAAATACATTTGTTATATCCTTCTATAAAAGACATATTCTTTCTACCCTTTTAAAAAAAAAGTCTTCCATGCTTATTTAATTATGTCAAAATGGATTTTACTGTCATGTATAACTAAAGAGAACCAGAAAAAAGTCTCAATTATTGGATTAAAAATTTCTTCAAAAGATTATGCATTAATATTTGTTTTCTCTGCTGGCAAAAATTTAAATCTGCAGTATTTTGTCTATTCATATTTTTAAAATGGTAGGAGAAGCTTTCAAAATCCCAAATGTTTTATTCTATGAGAATATGGCCATCCTGGATATTTTATCATATTCAAAGTTAAACTTTTGAGACCCCTCCTCCCATTAAATGTGAATATACTACTTACATATTAAACCTAAAAACATAGGGATAAACAGGCTTTACAAGTTATAATGGAGATGCAAATATAATAAAAATTCGTTTAATAGTGAAGATTAACAACTTTATATTAGAGTGAAATTCAGCTTTTGGTGTATGAAGCCATCAATAAATTCACTTGACCTTTAGGTTCTTGTTTTTCACCATAATATGAGACTGTACTGATTTGTCTTCTAGACTTGTATTGAATTATAAGTAAACTTATTGTTTTAAAGTCTTGCACATGTAAAATACTGTATGAATGAAAAATGGAAGACAGAAAATAATTTTCATTAAAAAATCTTAAGTATTTGAGAGTGTAAATTATCATAATTAGAATATAATTGTCCTTCATAGTTACTTCAATAGTAACTTGGCCAAAAATATTGAACAGTCATTTTCTTTTCAATCAACAGTATCAAATATGTCAACATGGCTACCTATGAAATTTTGTCTTAACTATTGTTTACCACAAAGATTCAGTTTGATAAAGATGAAATATTACAGTAAAAATAATTTTGCCACCTGACAATATATTTATTAAGTTCTGTGGTTTTAAGAATGGCTTTATAGGTCAGGGGAAAGTGCTTTACTCTAAAATAATTTGGAGAAATGTAATTGTCACCTAACAAAGTTAAGGTGCCCATTAATTATTTCTATTTCTTAGTGACCATAACAACAGTCTGGCTTGTTTATTACTATTGTTCTATGTTATATTAAGCAACTTTGTCATTCTCAAGGCTCAATGTATGAAGCACTTAGTTATTATAAAAAGTGTGATTTTTATTGTTTTTAAATTGTTTTTTAGTTGTAGATGGACACAATTTTATTTTTATGTGGTGCTGAGGATTGAACCCAGTGCCTCACGTGTAAGGCAGGCATTGATTTTTATTTTTAATGAACTGCTTGATTTTTCTGAGAGAGAGAGAGAGAGAGAGAGAGAGAGAGAGAGAGAGAATTTTTTAATATTTATTTTTTAGTTTTTGGTGGACACAACATCTTTATTTTATTTTTATGTGGTGCTGAGGATCGAACCCAGTGCCCCGTGCATGCCAGGCGAGCATGCTACCACATTCTCAGCCCCGTTGTTTGATTTTTAATGGCAAAAATTTTTAAAAGCCATGAAATTATACTATTACTCTCTTTTATGTTCGTCTTTTCCCTGCTTGAAAAGCAAGCATTGACTGTTAATATCAAGTGCTTTTTTTTTTTGCTTATAAAACACCCTGAGGATTCTGGTATAGACCATTTTAGGACCTCACTTTATTTTGTTTAATTTTTGAATTTTTATTTTTTAAAATTTTGAGACAAGGTCCTACTAAGTTGCGTAGGCTGACCTAAGACTTCTGATCCTCTTGCCACAGGCTCCCAAATAGCAGGGATTGATGACAGGAGGGTACTACTGCACTTGGCTAGAACCCCATTTTGGGGAAATAGTCTTACAGATGAAAAGACCTGGAGGTACTAAACAATTGTAGTTCAAAGTAGTTACTGCCTACGGTTCTGTGTCTTCACCCTTACTATCAGCAACAAAATTTAATTGAAAGATTATTGCATTCTATATGAAGTCGCTTATAACAATAACAGTATTATTGCCAAAAAGAATTTTTCAGGGTATATAAAAGAAGAGGTAAGTGAAACATCTCCAATATGTGTAGACCAGTGTTTTTCAAGAACAGATCAGTAAGTAGCCATTTATGTATTGGCTTGTTGAAGCCTGAATCATGTTGAACATGTTTTAAAATATTTATTGTTTAGTTGTAGTTGGACACAATATTTTATTTATTTATTTTTTAAATGTGGTGCTGAGGATTGAACCCAGAGCCTTGCGTGTGCTAGGCGAGCGCTCTACCACTGAGCTACAACCCCAGCCCCATGTTGAACATTTGATAACAGACATCTTGGATATTTTATCCAGACCTTTCATTTCAATGTACATCAAATTAAGACAGTTCAAAGATAATAAGTAGTATGTAACACATAAGTAGTATGTAACACATTTACAAATGTTTAACAATTGATAGAAAAAGTGAAAAAAATCATATGAGAAAAAGCCATCTTACATTTAAATTTAGCGGCCGCCACCTTATTAATTTCCTTTGAAATGATCTCTACTTTTAACTAGTTATCTGAAAACTTAGGAACTGTTATACCATCGGCATCTACACGTGCTTGGATAATTTGTATTACTGGAAAGATAAATGTGTTTAGTAGTAGTCAAGTTCCAATTTTCATAAACGCGTTTAATTTTTCAAATAACCTGTGGTTTACTTGTTTTACCAAATATGTGCTGCTTCTTTCCTAGTTGTTTTAATTTTCTTTTATAAACTTCTTTATGAAAATATAGCTGGGAAGAATTAATGAAGAGTAGTGGTGACATTATTTTACCAATCCTTTCTCCTACATTTATAATATAGTCATCCCAACATAATATTTTTAAAAGATGGAGTCATCTTATGACCTTCTCAGCCTATTTCCCATGATGACTTGTTATTTTCATGATGTACTTACAATTTTTTTTTGTGTATGTGTGTGTGTGTGTGTGTGTGCACGCGCGTGCGCTAAGGATTGAACTTAGGGATGTTTTACTACTGAGCCACATCCCCCCAGGTCTTTTTTTGTTTGTTTTTTTAATTTCAAGACAGGGTATCACTATGTTGCTGAGGCTGGCCTTGAACTTGGGGTCGTCCTGCTTTAGCCTCCTGAGTTGCTGGGATTCCAGGCATATGCCACCACTCCTGTCTTGTACTTGGATTTTAAAACTCCTCTGAATTTTCTTGATCTTTCTGATGTTTTCAAACCTATTAATATAAGTAAATATATTAGGTACACAGAACAATGCAAATATCAGAAATGTGTGCATCTCAATGAATTTTCTTAAATTCATTCATATAATTAGCACTCAGATTAAGAAATAGGATGTAATCAGTATCCTTGTTACTGAATTTTATTTGCTTGTGCATGTGTGTGTGTGTCAGTCTCCCTTCTCAAGAACTAATTATTTTCTATTTATCTCATTTTTGTTTATCCATGAAGCAATCGATCTGTAACTCTGTATGTGATTCATAAATGCAAGTCTGTATTAGTTTTTTAGAATACAATTAGTATCATTGGAGATTAGTTTAAATTTTTAAAAATCTTTGTTTTCTTTTTCTCTCCTTTCTATCCCTTTTAAAAATTTCACGCATGATGACTTTTAGTGTTGGTGCAAAAGTACTTTTAAATGATTAACTTATTTTATTTTCCTTTTTAGTGTGTAAATTCAAGGCTCACAAAAGATGTGCAGTGAGGGCAACTAATAACTGTAAATGGACAACCCTGGCCTCCATTGGAAAGGACATCATAGAGGACGAAGACGGAGTAAGCTGCTGTCTGCCCTTGCTCTCTTCCTGGTGCCTCCTCTCTTATTTTCTGCTCTTGGGGGAAATACTGATAGTTTAAGTGGGAGTGTTTATTATCAGGATGAAATAGGTTTTATTTGTGAGTTTTTTATTTTTAATTCATTGCTTTATAGCTTTCCCTCACTCTTGGATTTTGAGGGAACTCTGTTAAGATTAGGGCTTAGGAATGACTGCTGGACCTGGCTGGTGTAACAGAAGGTCACACTCTGTGATCTTTAAGGTTTAGAGGAGGTTTATTCTGCAGACTCTGGGGTTTCCTCTCTGCAGTACCCCTACCTTAAAAAACGTCTCCTGCATTGCACTGCATAGGTGAATCTCTGACAGCCTTTAGTGGGCCATGTATCATGACCCTTTGTCTTTTCTCCTCAACTAGATTTGCACCTGAATCCCAAAGGGGCAGGCCTTTCGTCTTATTTACTTTGTCTCCCTACAGGGCTTAGGCATAATAGATACTCAATAAATCTGGTATACATGAGTGCCATGCAGGATGCCTGTTATTGACTCCATAGAGTAACAAATCATTCAGTACCTTCCCAAGGGTAAGAACAGTGTTCTCCACAGTCTTCACTTTGGCTGCCCTTTTTTCCTGCCCGACAGCTCGCTATGCCTCACCAATGGCTTGAGGGCAACTTGCCCGTGAGTGCCAAGTGTGCTGTCTGTGACAAAACGTGTGGCAGTGTTCTCCGTCTACAGGATTGGAAATGTCTTTGGTGTAAAACAATGGTAAGGATTTGCAAACATTTCATACATTTTCACTATCTTATTTGCTTACTGTGGACATCTGTGTGGTTCAGAAGCAAAGCAAAGACCTTCATGGCAGAGCCTGACAGCATAGCCCATTGTGGCATTCATGGCTTGTTAAATAGTGTTTTCCTTCCAGTTCCATATTTTCCATCCCCTGACCCCATTCCTGGTCATTTTTCAAATGCCCCGTTTGTAATATTTTCTCTTACTCACATATTTCCTATGTCTCAGAATCTCTTTCCTACAGATCTATTGTTTTCCATTTTGCTTTCACTGCACAGTGATCTGCTGTTTTCTCTATTATACCTGGTGCACATAGAAAGTCCTTTTTTGTGCTGCCAGATTTGGGTTAACATATGAAGTGTGATTTTTCTGCAGTACCATGTGTGTCCTCTGACAGACAGAAAGCCAAGTTCAATGTGCTATGCACTGATGTAATTTAAATGATATAAACTTAGGTCATATAATAAATAGCTTTAAACTTCTCTGCATGTACAGGAAAGAAGTAAAAAGTTCACCCAGCATCATGTGAATCATCAGCAAAGAACAGTCTCATATATGCCAGATATCATATAGTCAGGGCTCCTGGGCTGCATGAGGACATTGATAGAGAAGGGAAGTCATGCCAACAGTAGCATAGGGCTCAAAGACCACAGGACCACGAAGCCACAGCTGGGCATGCTTCTCTTACTCCTGGGTGCTGCTGTCTCAGGATGATAGTCCCTTGTGTTTTGGGACTGACTCATTTGTTGGTGATTTGCATCTTCTTTTCTTGCTGTCCAAATTTGTAAGTTGGACCAAATTTTATAGTGTGGAAAATCCATTGCTTTTGGGAAGTCTGTTGTAGATCAGCATAAGATGTGATAATATGTGCTGGTTTCCTATGAGATTGACTCCACAGGCCCCGGGGTTGGGGGGGGGGAAGTCCTATGACTTTTTAGATAGTAATCTGTGATTCCTCTTAATTTTTAAACCAACTAAGATTTCCTTTGTCCTCATGCTTTTGTTATTTTTCATCATTTGCCTCTTTAATTAGCCACAGGCGTGTGTGTGTGTGTGTGTTTGTGTGTGTGTTTTGCTGGGGACCGAACCCAGGTCCTTGTACGTGCAAGGCAAGCACTCTATAAACTGAGCTATATCCCAGAGGCTTATTTTTGGTTTTTTACTTCTCTTATTTCACTGTCATATAACCTACAGACTGTGATGGGTGCCTTTCTGTGGACTCCCAGTATAGCCCTGACCCCTAAAGCCCTCTTATGCCATCCTTATTTTAAAGGAGTGCTATCCATAAGAAAGATTTTAAATCATCATTCCGCATAAGATTTATTTTGGGGGGAATGATCACTGATAGTATTTCCTGCTAATACATCTCATGTGGGATGAATCATTTTAGAAGGGTTTTGTGTAAATTGTCTTTACCTGCAGAATATATGTCTTTACTTTTATTTGGTCAGTAATTTTTAAACACTAATAATCTTCAAGGTAGGAGTTAATTAGGTTTCATTCTTGTTCCTTCTATTCATTCCCAACTTCAAAAAGTTTCACAAATAGAAGAGCAACATTATCTTGGGAAAACAACTGAAAAAAAAATTTTTTTTTTAAAGAGAGAGTGAGAGAGGAGAGAGAGAGAGAGAATTTTTTAATATTTATTTTTTAGTTCTCGGCGGACACAACATCTTTGTTGGTATGTGGTGCTGAGGATCGAACCCGGGCCGCACGCATGCCAGGCAAGCGCGCTACCGCTTGAGCCACATCCCCAGCCCAACAACTGAAATTTAATAGCAATTTAAATGGGGTGTATGGGATGGAACCATTCTAGAGTGTCTTTTCCCTCTTTTTTCCTACCCCACCCTGGGTAAGTTACACCTGTTGGTTTCTGGCACCATCACCTCTGTAATGCCTCTCTTAGCCTCGAATTTCTTGTGCACTATCATTTATCTTTTTATATATTACTTTACCTGTAAAATGTGAGTTTCTTTCTTTTTTAAAAAACTATTTTTTAGTTGTAGATGGACACAATACCTTTATTTATTTTTATGTGATACTGAGGATGGAACCCAGTGCCTCACATATGCTAGGCAAGTGCTCTACCACCAAGCTACAACCCCAACCACTAGAATGTGAATTTCTAACAGCAGGCTATCTAGGGCTGAAAACATAGTCATTTAGGGAAAACAAATAAACAAAAGAAAGCAAAAAAAAAAAAAAAACCGCTGCCAAGTCCGAAAGCCCATAGTTCCATAACCCTGAAGGTTTAAGTCATAATTTTAAAATCAGTGAATATACAACTTTATCTTCTGCTTTTCTCACTTAGATTATTATAAATAGCTTCCCATTTTGCTCCATGATTCTCATGTATTTTTATATTCCTTTTACAACTATCCATGTATACTAGTTTTTATAAAATGCATTTTGGTTGTTAATTATTATAAATCCTAATCAACTGTCCAAAAACAGTTGCTATTAAATTTGCTAAAAACTGCTATTAAATCTCACTTATTTCTGAAGAGTGTTGATAGAGGTTTAGTCAATGTGCCAGTTTTCTTAAAGCACTAATGATATAAAGTCCTATTAAATAAATGGTTTATGAAGCATCTGCTTTTACTAGCCAAAATATTTTGAAGGGTCTCTAGGTAAATACACAAAGTATTCTAAGTGGCCTGGCTCCTACTTTTTAGGTTAGCCTGCTTTGTTCTCAATAGTATCTTGACTGGCCTTGAAACTATGTTTCTTCATCGAGCATTTACCACAGGCTTGTGATGTGAATCCCTCTCCCTTTTCCTTGCAGTCTAGCTGAGAAAGTAGGCATGGGTGTGCTGATAGTGATGATAAAAAACACATGATAAAAGAAATGCGAATTATAAAAGAAATGCGAAAAAAACCACATGATAAAAGAAATGCGAGTTATAGGAGCATGGCAGAAAGAGCAGGCACATGGCAGGTTTCATTGTCATTAAGTCTGTAAGAATTTTTATATGGTAGATGTTATCGATTTGTTTTATGGGCATAATATTGACATATTGGAACTCTTTCCTCCTTTCTCCCTCTCTTCCCTTTTTCTTTTCCTCCTTCTCTTTCTCCCTCTGCATTTCCTCCCTTTTCTTACTCTCTCCTTGCCTTCAGCATTCATTGACCATATCCCTTGTTTGAGACCATCACAGAAATAGGCCACATGGACCAAAATTATATTCCCATCACTAAAATGCTTAGTCTATTCCTTAGAAATATAGATACTGTGCCTTTAAAGTAACTTGTGAATTACTGAATATTTTGTGATGATGTTGATCCTAAATGATCATTTCTGTAGATGTAATTTATGACATAGAAAAATGCTTTGTTTTTATGATTCCCAAAGCTTTATTTGTTTATCATTAGGTACATACTGCCTGCAAAGATTATTATTTTCCTGTATGTCCACTTGGCCAATGCAAAGTATCTATCATACCTCCAATTGCACTAAATAGCACTGATTCTGATGGTATGTAATAGTAGTGTGAGTATGTGTATTTCTGGTATATTTAATATTGATATATGTACATTTATTTTCCTAGAATAAATAGAACTTAAGTTGGTTATTTTGGTCAATTTTTACATAATAATTCCATTTAAATTTCCGAATGGCATATTTAATTTGTAAAAGAATCTTTTAAAATGAAAGTTGTAACATAGCTATTAGCTTTGTTGGTAAAATTACCATGTATGAGACTTTTAGATTTTACATTTAAGTAAATAAAATAAGATCATTATCTTGTACTGAAGTATAATCTGAACAGGCTAATTTTTATAAGTGGTTTTTTCCACCATAATTGAAATTGCTCATTAGCATGGCTGTTATTAAAATTTGTTTTCTTATAATTTCATTGCAGAAATTTATATCCTATAAATGCATTCACTTTTTCCAGAATCTTACAACTTAATTGTAAGTGCTGAGGAAACTTTTCACAACACTGGTTTTAGGATAGCATACTAATAACTTCCTTCTAAGCAAGTTGTATTACAAAAGGCTTTTACCATGTACTGTTGTTAATGTCTGGCATTTATAATATTCTTTATGCCTTCTGAAATTTTAAGTAAATTAGGCCAATAAATATTTTAGATATAAAGATATAAATCTTAAATAATATGATTTTTAAAACTTGTACTATTGATTGCCTCTCCCATCTCTGACATATCTAGGTTCTTTTATTTATTATAAATTTTAATATTTTCTCAAGTCTTATCAAAGAACAGTTAAATCATTTAAAAATAGTAAAAATAATCATATGAATTCTTTACAAATGTGAATTTATGGACTTTGCTTAGTTTTTCTCATAATTATATTGTTAAGACAGATGGTATATCTCAAATTATCTATGGTTAATACTTCCCTTGTCTTTGTTATCATTTTTCATTATAGAACATATTTTTAAATGAGAAGTCCTATGTTCTTAGTATTTAAATAGTAAACCTCCACTTGTGAGTCTACATTATACCTGAGTGTTCTAATAATAAGCAAGATTTTTTATTTTTATGAATTTATCTTTTTTTCTGTGAATGTTCAGTAATAATTTAAAAAGGAAAATAGTACGTATTGCTCTTATGCTATATGTGTGTTTTTTGTTTTTTTTACAGGTTTCTGTAGAGCAACATTTTCATTCTGTGTTAGTCCTTTATTGGTTTTTGTCAATTCTAAGAGTGGAGATAATCAGGGAGTCAAGTTTCTTCGTCGTTTTAAACAATTGCTAAATCCGGCTCAGGTGTTTGATTTAATGAACGGAGGTCCTCATTTGGGGTAATTCGTTATTGATAAATATTATTTGAATGAAATATAGTACTAGGCATGAATTGTGTCTAGCTTTTCATCTCATGAAAATTATTGATTCCACTTGATCTCCTATGTTGGTCTTCTCTCCTTCTCCCTTATTTAAAGCTTTCATTATTTAAAGTTTTAATATAAGCTTTTTGACAGTTATATAAATCTCTTGTATAAATTCCCTATTTTTTACCAAAATTTCCAAATTTCAAATTTATTAAGAAAAATTTTTATATATATTTTATATCAAACACTACTATCAATTTGTTTAACTCCAAGAAGGATCAATTTCCATAAATATAAAATAAAAGCTAATATTAGAAAAATTATTTTCAAGGAAGGCTAGTATTAATTTATATATAATGTACATAATCAGTGATTTCACCACGTTAACAGATGTTATCGCGGATCTCAAGGACAGTTCCTCAAGAATTTGACTTAGGGGCTAGGGTTGTGGCTGAGTGGTAGAGTGCTTGCCTAGCATGAATGAGATACTGGGTTCAATCCCTAGCATCACATAAAAAAAACTAAATCAACAAAATAAAGACATTGTGTTCATCTACAACTAAAAATATTTTTTTAAAAAAGAATTTGACTTTCACATAAATGACAACAAAATACTTTGGCTGACTCCCCCCCCCGCCACCTCCCAGTTTTCTAGTATGTTATGTAACTTAAAATCTGAAAAAAAAATTAAATAGTATTTTTACTGAGGGGCGATATGCCTTGAGATACATTTTCAGTGTTTGCATATGATTTTTCTGAAAGAGGATGCTGTGTCTTCTGATGGAGGGATCTTTAATCTCTATGTGATTTGCAAAGGTTACTCAGCTTTTCCTGAGGATTTCCCTGTGACCTTCAAGTATGAACACAGAAGTAAATATGAGAATTTTATTTTATTTTACTGCAGTCCTGGTTATTGAACCCAAGGCCTTGTACATACGAGGCAAGTACTCTACTATTAAGCTACATCCTAAGGGCAGAAATTGGGATTTTAGATACCAGTGCCTGAGAAGCACTCATTTATAAACTGACACTTTCCTCTGTCTTCTCTGTTTCTCTCCTGTTTCTCTTTGTGTCCCTTGTCACTTTTGTCCCTTCAAGGTCTTCTGTCCTTTTTGCACTGCCTTTCTCTTTCTGAGTCTCAGGTCCTCTGTTTTACACAGACACTAGTTCTCTTCATTTATACCCTGCCCCTTCCCTAAGTACATCTCTCTCTTGCCCCTGATTGGATCCCAGCATTTTCTCAGATTTCCTCTCACCTTCTTTGTGTCTTCTGTTCTTTGGTAGTTTCATTCTCCTTTCTGACATGTCTGGTTTTTTTATAACTCTCCATACTTCTGTTAATTAATTAATTTAGGAATTTGTATAGGTGTGTATTTATTTTTGGTGCTAGGGATTGAGCCCAGGACCTCATACGTTTGAAGCATGTCCACTACCACCAAGCTACTGCCTCATCCACTCTCTTATACTCATGATATTTATTTTTCCCATTTATCCTTTAAGGCCCCAAAGATCTCTCTTTGTGAAGTTTCCTGGGGTTGTTCTTATGATATATTTTCCAGATTTCCCATTATACTTGAATTTTACAAAGGTACATTCAGGAGGTGAAATGTGTGGAAAGTTGAGATAAAAGCTGGTACTGGAGCTCAGTGGCAGAGCGCTTGCCTAGCATGTGTGAGGCACTGGGTTTGGTCCTGAGCATCATGTAAAAATAAACAAACAAAATAAAGGCATTCTGTCCATCTACAGACAGACAGACAGAAACACACACACACATACACACACACACACAAATTAAAAAAAAAGAAAAGGAAAAAAAAGTTGAGATGAAGGGAGATAGAAGTGAAAGAATTGGCCAGAGACTAAGAGGAGAGGAGAAAAGGTGGGCTGACTGTACTTACGGCTGCATGTTGGCAAGGTTTGTAAGTGTCTTTAAGAATTGCTTCAGTGCAATTACTGGCATCCCATCCTCAATTCCCCCTGGTTTATAATTCTTAAGGATATAATATATCCTTCTTGTTAAAATAGGAAAGCCACCACTTTCACAATTTCATGTTTACCTGTAGTTCTTTCCTGCTTCTGCTTCGATTTTGTTTCCTTATTTCTTGCTCCCTTTTCCTCCATTCCTGCTTGTAATTCACTATCATTCTTTAGATTCAGAGATTTTCTTGAATTAAAAATTGCACTCAAAATAATTTTTATAGTATAATTAGTAGATAAATATGAGTTTTTATACCAATGCATGCAAGAATGACAAAGAATTAGAAAAAGTGATTTTTATTTATTTTTACTAAAATGAAATAATTTTTACTTTTAGTTTAAGATTATTTCAGAAGTTTGACAATTTCCGGATTCTTGTTTGCGGAGGAGATGGAAGTGTAGGCTGGGTTTTGTCAGAAATCGATAAGCTCAACTTGAATAAACAGGCAAGTGCTAATTCTTTTCCTTGCTAGTTGACGTGAATGTATACTGACATTATTTTCCAGAGAGGTGCAGAAGTGTAATGGTCCTTATTTCTCAACTTTTCTGAAAGTCTCACCCTTGCACTCTCTCGTAGTGTCAGCTGGGAGTATTACCCTTGGGAACAGGCAATGACCTGGCTCGAGTTCTTGGCTGGGGAGGTTCATATGACGATGACACTCAACTTCCTCAGATACTAGAGAAGCTGGAACGAGCCAGTACCAAAATGTTAGACAGGTAAGAGAAAATTCTCTACTAATCCTAGACTGAAAATGGCATCCAGAAATCACTTTTTGATAATTTAAATTTTACTGACTGTACACCCATGAAGGCAGAGATTTCCTGGACTTGTCGACCATTTGCTCCCTGAGATTGAGAACCAGGCCTGAATAGAGTAGACACTCAATTAAGATATTTTCTGAATGAATTAATTTTTTATAAAACTGAGGGGAAACATCTCTTCTTGCATTCCAATGAATCCATTGTTCTAAAGAGTAGATTGATACCTAGGATGATAACTACTTTTAATCACTGTTCAAGTAGGAGAAATAAAATAGTTAATTTGCTGTGTGGTGGGGGGTTAGTGAGTATGAAAAGTAGGACCCCCATCATCAGGTTGATTCAGAGAAGCAAAGACAAACTTTTTGTTTGTTAGAATATCTCTTCTTAATTATACACATTACAAACAAATTGTTCCAACAAGGAACTGAATTTTTAAAAAAGATAAAGCATCATGTCCCCGGTACAGGGTAGTGTTAGGAAGACAGCTTTGAATGAAGGGCTTATCACTATATTTATGCTGTCCCTGCTCACATCCCATACCCACTTTCTCTCTGAGTAGCCCACATGTAAAACAGAAATCACAGTATGTAGCTGAGTGTGGTGCAGGAGGTGTTTAGAATTTGGGTATAGGGAATAACAGGATTTAGTAAGCAGCAATTACCCCACCCCATGAGTAGAAGACAAATGTCAAAATATCATTATAGACGTGAGGTAGCATGACTCAAAACAACATTGATAGGATTAGCCATCTGTGGAAGTCATCCCGAAAATAACAAATCTCATCAGGGAGCCACCAATCTAAAATGTAATTACTCTAAGATGAGCTATAACCAAATTAATTGTAACCTTGTCTGTCATAAGGTAATACTGTAATGCATGATTCTTTTGCTGACAGACTATTTGAAAAGAGAGCTGCACAGTAGAATATTCATCTATATTTATCCAAAATTGTATGAGAAATACTCCTATAGTTTGACTGCATAGTCTAGGGTGAAGCTGGATTCAGTTTCCAATTCTTAAAAAAGCCTAGAGGTTTTCTTTAAAAAAAATAATAATAATAGGAACACATGTGAGGAGATGGAAAAGTTAATTGGTTTGATGTGTAAATCAAAATATCAAATTGTACACCTTAATATATATATATATATATATAGTTTTTATTTGTTGGTTATACCTGGGGGGATTGGAAATAAATAAATAAATAAAATCACCATTATTTATAAAAGAGCTTGGAGATGATTTACTGAACAACTGTCTGATTCTGTGCTTTCCAAACAACATGAAATATTTTAAATACTTTTTTCGTTAAAGATTTGAAGAGCACTGTTTCCTGCTGCATCCTAGGAAGTGTTGTTGGGTTTTTCCTCTACCCTGGATATGTGCTTTTCTATGGTATTCTAGAAATTCACTTTTTAATTAGCTGAGAAATAGCATCTCCATAGTGAAACTCTTGCTTCATACCAACAAGCCTGGGGAAAACACAAGGAAAAAATTAAAATCAAGAGAGACTCAAAAACCTAGGAAATAAGAAAAATGGAATCCAATGTTATTATTAGAAGCAAAAGAATATTTTGTTCCTTTTTCCCCTAATTTACTATTTGCAAAGATGTAAAGAAAAAAATCACTGTTTAATATTCCAAATCATATGTATCTATTCACTCCAATTATAAATTTATAGGATGGATTAGGGAAGCATTATGATGACTATTTTATTAAAATGTAAAATTGAGGCTTCTGTAGACAATGGGAATAAAAATAACTAGTATTTTCTTTCTGCCTGGCACTGCCAGTCATTTTACTCCTCAATCATCACTGCTCCTAAAGAGAACCAATATTGTCATCTCCATTTTCCTGGTAATACGAAGGTTTTTACATGATCAAAATTGCGTAGCTAGAAAGTACTAGAACTTGCAGTTTAGAGTTCCTTCAGTAGTTCCTAGGGTCTGTCTTCAACATTGCACTCTCTTGTCCTTAAACATATAGTCAGCAGAGAAGTTCTAGCTTTCTGGCCTCTGACTCTGCTAGCTGTTACTTCTGCCTGACTCGTTCCTCTCTTGCCACCACTTTCTCCTGCTTCTTCAGCTCCAACCATTTCTTATATAGGAGGGAGGTACGGCATGGAAGGTGTAGACATTGGATGAGTTTCTTTCCCTTTTTTTTAATTGCTCTTTTGACCAGAGAAGTATTTCCAGCTATCTAGAACTTGACTTTTATGTTTCCAATCGTGGTTTTCTCTGTTAGATACTTACAAATTTAATTGTTTTGTTTACTTCTACTATCCCTGTTTTCTGAGGTAGAATACACATTAGGAAAGCATTCTTCACTCTTGTGTTTTTAGACCCTGTTACTTTGAGATGTTCAATATATATCTGTTGCACAAATAGATGGGTGGATGGTTATATGAATGAATGAATGGCTTTCAGCATTCAAATATATATTTCTTCATAATATTTTCATGTTAAGAGTAGAATAGTAGCTTCAAACAACTACTCAGTTTATATATCCTAACACATAATATATGTTTATTGGAAGAATTCCTGGGAATTTGGGTTTTTATGCAAAGATTTATTCTCATTAGTCTGAATGATACACCAAGCTCAGTTTAAATACTGACCTTTGGATTTGCCTCTAGGTTGTATCATTGGATTCCATTTTTCTTAAAAGTCATATATTTTACTACTATTTTTATAATGCTTTGTTTCTGTGTAAAATCTTCATCTTACATTTTGTAGTCTACAGTAATGCCATGACCCAATATTTCTTTTTCAGTTTTGGAAATTATTATTTTAGTTAGAAGGCTTGAATTATCCTAAGTTGATTGCTTTTCTCAAATACCAATGATTCAATGTTTGCTTTGAAATTAATATTAATAGTTAATTGAAATAAATTTGTTTGAATTAAGTATCATTTCTATTAACATTTCTCCCTCAATCCTATGCTTAAATTTATTCTTTCTTAAATTAGGAGTTCACCTATTTTGTTTCACATATGTATGTGTAAGTTGCTTTGGCAAGAATGATCGGTACATGGGAATACTGTGTTTTTCATAGGCTGTATACATTTATTTAATCTAGGACACTGTTTTGGAATTCTTGGTTGTGACGCATCAATAACTTGTAATCTACTTAATAATTTACAGTAATCATAATTTTAAAAGAATTGAATAAAAAAGTCACAATGCATTACACCTAATGAAGAATGAGAAGTCTTGTTACATTTGAACATTTCTTACTATGGGCATGCTCTTAAAACGTTTAGAAGTCGTCACTTCATGGAGAAATGGTAAAATGTTGAAATCATAAATATGAATCCAATATTTTATGAGATTACCTAAATTGTATCTCTTTCTCATTTCTTTGATTAAGATACAATAAAGCTTTAGTTCACAAATACAGATAAATGATGAAATAAGAACAGTTTGTTAAATTTTAAAGGCGTTTTAGACCAAAGGATTTTCTCCCTTCAGGTGGAGTATAATGACATATGAACTCAAATTGCCACCAAAGGCTTCTCTACTTCCGGGACCTCCAGAAGCACCTGAAGAATTTTATGTAAGACTTTACCTTTTACCTATTTATCATCTAAAATGGGGGTTGACATCTTGGGGAAAAAAGAGAAAACCTACTCTCATGGTAGCTGTAGCATGCTTACTTCATCTTATGTTAATTTGGGGGACTATCGCCTCCTTGACTACTTCTAGTTCTCTCCCCAAATTAAAGAATCCTAAAGATCCAGCTTAGACTGCTTCCATGACTACCCCCACAGGGAGTGTGGCCTTACCCGAGTCACTTGCCCCTGTGGGCCTTCTTAACATTATCTGTGACATGAGGCTGCAGCGTTGTGAGGATTCAGTGATGTGCACCAGGAATATAAGGTCCTTTCTCAGCTCTCAGTAGTTCTCCCTGCTTATTCTTCCTCCTGCTTCCTTTTTACCAGCAAAGCTCAAGGGGCCAGCTTCCAGCTTGCTTCCACTCATCTTCTGCCTTGTTCATGAGCACCCGTTTGATTATCGGGTATTAGCCCAGCTCCCTTAAACAATCTCCAAACAGACCAGTACTTGTAGCCAGAATATTGTATAATGATCCTAAGCTTTGCCTTTTCTTTGAAGGGAGCAAAAGACAGGGTTAAGCCTGTTGATCTAGAGAAAACCAAGGAATTAAGATAGGTCACTTCATTCCAGAAAGACCGCAACTGCTCTGAAGTTTTTAGACAACATTTTAAAAGATTCAGCGTTCTGATTAAATCTCCAAGCAGTAGAGATTTAAAACAGAACCTGACTTTCAGAGGATTATTCTCTGACTCATTAAGACCATTTGATCTATGAGAGCTTATTTTTCCCTCTAGGAAAATTTATCTGTTTATTTTACAAATGGAACCTTTGTTTTGTCATTAAGAAAATTATAATCTTGTCAAAATTAGGGCAAGGGATGATAACTGGAAAATAGGGCTATTCCTTAGAGAAGCTAATTGTATTTTTTAAATATTTTCTGATATAAAAGTAGAAAACATTATATCTAAAAAATTTTTAAATAGAAAATTATATGAAAAAGAATCTAAAAGTCACTCATAGTCCTACCACATTTCCAGGAACATTTTTAGTTATATTATTCCATCTGCTATAACTATCAAACACATTTTTTATGGAAACCATTCTTTTCTCAATAGTATTTTTGTAAATGTTATTAATTTTCTTTCCAAAAAAAGGAAAAGGGAAATTCTTTTGTTCTACCTACTTCAGAAATGTCTGTTTCCTAGTATGTAAAATAAAGATAGATAATTGCCTTCTATCATTTTTATGTAATCATATCTTAAATATGAGGTGTTAAGTACATAAAGGAAATCTCTTACTTTTTTTTTTTTTGGTGCAGGTGGGCTTGAATGAAACTTCATCTTTTAAAAATTTTTTTGCAGGACTAGGGTTTGAACCAGGAATACTCTATCCCTGAGCTACATCCTCAGCCCTTGTGGTTTTTTTTTTTTTTAAGCCCTTGTGATTTTTTATTTTGAGACAGGACCTCATTAAATTGCCCAGACTGACCTCTAGCTTGCAATCTTCCTGCTTTGGCCTCCCAAGTCACTCTATAGCCCTGTGCCATCAAGCTCAGCTAATTTTTTTTTTAACTGATTTTCTTAACAAACAGATAGCATCCTTTAATATTACAGATTAAGTGGACATTCTGTCTGGCTCAGACCAAGGCCTGAACACCCTCCAGCTAACATCAAGAAAACACTTTTTCATCTGTGATTTTATTTTTTACCTTGAAAACTATAATAGAAGTAAGCTAACTACTTTGTTTTTGAATTCCTGAGCAATTCATTGACTATGGGTATTAGGCTGGTTACTCAGCTTACCTTGAGAAAAAGGTAAGCTGAGTAACCAGCCTAATACCCTCCTTGACTGTAAAACAGAATAGTTAAAGGGCTAAAAGTATTCAAAGTACTTAACATTAATGCCTGCTACACACACACACACACACACACACAATGTTAACTGTTAATGCTAAGTGATCAATGAGTGACACATACGATTTTATTCTTGGACATGAAGCTTATTTTACTCTGAAAGGGTTGGCATTGTTTTCTTTGAATATCACTAATGGATAACAACTTGAATTTTTTTAAGATGTAAATTGCAAATGTCATTTGTCAAATGATAATAAATTAATCAACTGATATTAATTCATTAGTCAATGGCATTAATGGTCATTTAAAATATTTTCCACCCATAAGGGAAGAGAAAACTAATCTCTAAAAAGCGCTTCCTTATTGTAGTTTTAAAAGAGGTACTTCTGTTTTTCTGATCTCTAAAAAACGCAGTTTCTGGCATTTAAATCAGGAGATTGGTAAAGTGGATTTGTGGGTCGGTCAATACAATATGGGTGTAAATTTAAAGTTCCTGCCCTTCCTCCTTTTCATTGATGTAAAATAACTTTTCTCTATTTGGTCTGCTTTTGAAGTAGGTTAAGATAGAAATTTAAAAGAGTAACCGGTGCACTTGACTGTAAATTAGAATTGACATTGCTTTGGGAGAGGCTAGTCAGGAAGTTTTTTTTTTGGGGGGGGGTGGGGCATTAACTTAATCTTCAGTTAAGTCTGAATAAACTGATGCTGGTTAGGGAAAAGCAATGAAAAGATCTGAGTATGGCAGCATCAGGCCTGCTTGAATAGAACCTGTCGTTTTTACTGAAAAAATTTGAGCTATGGAATATATTAAAGCAAACATTTAAAGGGAGGCTGTGAATGTGAGATTGTTTAAATACTATGCATATTTTATGTATCAGGAAGATGATCTCTTTCAACATGATGTCAAAGTTTGAGTCAAATAGAAAAGGGATATAGGGCACTTGGCATTTTGATTTTTTTGTGTGTATGTTATTTGAGAGAAAGCTTTGTTTACATGATTGTTCACATACATGACTATACGACTGCATGATCGCATTTTAAAAAAACTTTTTGTTGAATCATAACATGCATGTAGAAAAGTATGCATATCATACATAAAGAGCTTGGTACATTTTTACAAACTAAACCAATTTATATAATCAGCACCCAGATCACAGGACAACATTCAAGTACCCTACAAATTCCCCTCACGGCTCTTTTAGTCACCATCCCACCCCTCCCCCCTGCAACCACTCTCCCAGCTTCTAATAACATAGATTCATTTCGTCTTTTTTGTATTTTATAAAATAGAGTCATGTTGCATATTCCCTTTTGTATCTGGATCCTTTCACTCAACATTATGTTTGTCAGATTTAGCCACATTGTGGGGTAATTGAGCATCATCCCCTCTCATTGTTCCACAGTGTCCCATTCCACAGATATGCTACAGTTTGTTATCCACTCTACTATTGAGTGAATGCTGCATGAACATTCTAGTACATGTCTTTTGCTAAACACACACTTGTGGGTTTTCTTTGTTTGGTTTTTTTTTTTTTTTTTTTTGGTTGTAGAAGTTGAATCTCTGAGTCCTGTGGTATCATGCATACATTCAGCCATTCATCTGTTTTTTTTTGTTGTTGTTTGTTTGTTTGTTTGTTTGTTTTTTTTTTTTTTTGAGTACCAGGGATTGCAATCAGGAGTGCTCGACCACTGAGCCACATCCCCAGCTCTATTTTGTATTTTATTTAGAGACAAAGTCTCACTGAGTTGCTTAGTGCCTTGATTTTGCTGAGGCTGGCTTTGAACTCGTGATCCTCCTGCCTCAGCCTCCTGAGCCACTGGGTTTGTAGGCATGCACCACCGTGCCCAGTGTACATTCAGCTTTCATGGATATTACAAATAGTTTTCTGGAGTGTTGGTGTCAATGTGCACTCTCCTCAGAAGCTTATGAGAGTTCTGTAGCTCCACTGTCCTGCCAACATCTGGCAGTTTTCACTTGTTGCTGTCTTCATCTCCTTTCCAGTAGACATGTGGTGGTAGTGTGTTGTGGTCTTAGGTTGCACTTGGTGGATGGCTGATGAGGTTGAACACCTTTCCATCTGTTTATGGATCATCAGTAACTCTCCTATTTAAATTACTTTAGCCCATTTGAATTAGGTTATCTGGCTTTTAAGAATTCTCATATTCAAAAAAATATTTTTTTTTAATTTAAGGGCTTTTTGTGGGTTTTTCTCCTATCTTCTCCCCAGTAATGGGGATTGAACCCCAGGGGTATTTTACCCCTGAGTTACATCCCCAACCCTTTTTATTTTTTATTTCAAAACAGGGTCTCACTAAGTTTTTGAGACTGCATTGAACTTGTGATCCTCCTGCCTCAGCCTCCTAAGTCACTGGGACTATAGGCATGCCACCTCTGCTTTCTAGCCTTTTATGGACTCTTCTAAAAATATACGTTAAAGAATTCCAGAAAATGAAAGCCTGTCACAGAAAGGAAATTTTTATCTATTTTTCATGACTCCTTTTTCATTGTAGCAATTGCTGTTTCGCTTGTGTCATGAACAGCTCTTTTAGAAGCAGTAATGACAGAGTTGTATATATGCCAACAACAATAATATAGCATAGAGTATTTTCTTGTTTCAGATGACGATTTATGAAGACTCCGTTGCAGCTCATCTTACAAAAATCCTCAATTCCGATGAACAAACGGTGATTGTATCGTCTGCCAAGTGAGTTGTGGAGTTTGAGTCATGAAATAGTTACATGGTAAAAATTAAAGGAAAGCTGCTTCTTCCTGCTTATATCGTTTTTGAAATTTTTTCTTTTCAAAAAATATCTATGAAATTCACAAAATTAGTTGTACTGAATTTGATTTGATTTTTTAAAAAAAAATCACTATAGCATTTTATTTGGAGTGGAATACATATATATATATATTGCTGCTTAATTTGATACATTTTTGTCAAAAACTTATAATAAGTATTTAGAGGTTAATCAATCTGATGTCTGTTTAAAAGTAGATTATGATTAATTATAACATGGAAAGCACATTTTGTTATAACTTCTTACTTCTAAAAGCACTACTGCTTAGGAACTGTTTACCTCAGTAAAAGGAACACAACGATGAGATTTTTCAAAATGACATTTCTCAGCATGTTTAAATTGCATAATTATGTTTTAATTCAAAGTTATCAGATTTTAGTTAAGTTGATTGCATACATGGAGCCAAAGCTACTTGATGTTATTATCCCAAATGCTGCCTGGCTGGAATTTAGAATTTAGTTTGGAAGCATCCTATACTGATGTCATGAGAACTGGAAGGCTGACCAGAGGAAGGGGGTGAAACCACCCCAAATTTTCAACTGATAAGTGAAAGAATGCTGAAAGAGTCTAGTTTAGCAGCAGATATTACTATTACACAGAAAGAGAGGAGACAAAGAATGGGTAGAAGGAGAGAAAGGGAGTGGGAAAGAGGTAAAGGAAAAATACACTCATTTTAGTATCTCACATGCTTCATTTGCAGTGAAGAAGAAAGAGAAGAGAAATCTATAGGGAAAACTTACTTGTGACCGAAGTACAAATGTAGTCAGAATTGCTTTTGATGACATCTCATGCAGGAACAGGAAACAGCCCTGAACAACAGAAAAAGAGTTCAGTGGGTTAAGGGAGTGGAAGCAAGTGGTTGTTGTAGGCAGAAAAGGACTGCAGACTGGTGGGCAGTACTGCTGGTTGGTTTATGTGTATTTGTTATTTAATGAATTGTATTGCTTTATGGTGAAATATGTAAATTTCCAGTTTGTCCCAGGCCTCAGCACTCCTTAATGCCTTTCTCTTTCTGGCCACAATTCATACTTCTGTTACTAGCTGGATCCCTATAGGTATTTGACTTTGCCACCTTTGTCTCATAAATAAATGCTTATTTATAGGACGTTTAAGAGAACATTGCTAGAAAAGACGGCAAGTTGGAAAGGAAGGTTTGAAAAGGTATAACAAATTGTAAAAAAAAGATTCCTTATTTAATCCACTGTAGTTAAATATTTTATCTGACTACCTTTTAGCAAAGCCTTTGTATTGACCTTTGCATTTTGATATGTTTGATCACTGCCTCCTATACATTTTATGTATTTTTAATTAAATGGAGTTCAGGTCGTGAAATTTGGACAGATACAGACAAGATCATTATGGCAGCCACTGCTTTCTCGTTCTTTTTTTTTTTTTTTAATACCAGGAATTGAACCCAGAGGCGCTTAACCACTGAACCACATTCCCAGCCCATTTTATTTTTTATTTTGAAATAGGGTCTCACTCCGTGGTGTAGGGCCTTGCTAAGTTGCTGAGGTTGGCTTTGAATTTGTGATCCCCCTGCCTCCACCTCAGCAGCTGGGATTATAGGCATGTGCCACCATACCTGGCTCTTTCTTATCATTCTTAATCTTAATACCTGTGAAGTACAACATTCTTATCAGTGAAAACCTTTTTTCAAATAAAATCTTACATACCATTCCAGTATTAAAAAATTAAAATTGTTTTGTTAATGTTAATTGGATGTGCTTAAATTATTAAAGACATTTTTGAAAGTGTAAGCAATAAGGTGATAGATGAGTTATAATCTCATATTTGATGCAGTTTTCAATTATTTCTGTACCTAATTTGATCATACAGTTATAAGGACATTCTCTTTGATAAAATAAAAATGGCAGAAAATTCTTTAGTCCAAGAGTTGCACAAAAATTAGTCAATTCTAAAGTAAATGTTAACATATTATTTGTCTTGTCATGTTTCTAATAATCGTTTGGCCTTAAAAATATTATGTGCTATATTTCTAAATGAAATTTGAAACACTCATTTATGGAATTCTGAAAGCATTTAGAGAACAGTTTGAAAATCATGGGTCAAGTAAATTTGTGTCCTAGTTGACACTTATTCACTAGCCTTGGGATCTGTGTCTGTTTTTTACCAGCGTAAGAAGGGAAAGGAATGCCTATTATTTTCCCTTCATGGAACTCTTAGGAGAATTAAGTTGAGTAATAAATATAGAGCATATAAACTACAGAGTGCTAAAAATATACTAAATTATAGTATTATAGTATACTAAATTATGGTATTATCACCTCATTTCCCTAATTACATTTCAAATGTTTTCTGACCTTGGTCTGGCTCTTTGTTTACGCCATACTCCTAGCCTGAGTTTTGGGTTTCTCTCCAAACAGCTCTCTTGTCTTTAAACAATTCCATTTTCACCCTGGTCTCCTTGTTACTCTTCTGTGCTCAGCGGCCTGCTACTGTCCTGAAGTCATAAGCCCAGATTAAAATTGGGTGGATTTGCTCTAAAGAGTTCAAGAGAGAAAAGAGAGGACAACATGTAATACATTATGCCAATTAATACAATGTATTTTTTATTTTATTTTTTAATGGACATTTTCAAACACTGCATAAAAGTATAATTTCCCACTAAGCCTATCACTCAGCTTCACTGTTTATCAGCATTTTGCCATCTACTCCCTAGTTTTGCTGTAGTATCTTTAAGCAAATATGAGAAATCATTTTATTCTATTTTTATTACATGTACATATATATAATCTTTTTTTAAAAATGCAGTAAATTTAATAATTCTCTAGTACCATCAATATTACTCGATCCATCTTCCATGTCCTCCAATTGCAGTTTATATGCTCTATATTTGTTATTCAGTTGTAGATGGACATAATGCCTCTATTTGTTTATTTTTATGTGGTGTTAATAATCAAACCCAGTGCCTCACATGTCCTAGGCAAGTGCTTTGCCACTGAGCTATAGCCCTAGCCCCTCAAAATGTTTTAAATAGTTAGTTTCTTCAAATTAAAATCCAAACAAGGTTCCACAGATTTCATTTGGTTCATATGTTTCTTTAAGGCTTTAAAAACCCATAATTGGGGCTGGAGATATAGCTGAGTGGTAGAGTGCTTGCTTAGCAGGGATAAGGCCCTGGGTTTAATCCCCAGCTATAAAAAATAAAATAAAATAAATCTGTAGTAGTTCCTTCTGCTTATAAAAAACAAAAACAAAAAGATCCTATTAACTCTTCATATATAAAGAGTACACAAACCACAAAGATACAACTCAATGATTACAAAGAAATTCCTCACATACCTGCACCTATGTAACCACCACCTAGACAAAAATACAGAATTTTCTTCTTATGTTAATGCCATGTATGTATGAATAAATGAAAAAGTGAATAAATATTAAGGAAAATAACTTCCTTATGTGATTATAGTTATTTCATAAAATAGCTATTTTTACTATTTAAAATATTTAAATGTTAATGGAGAAGCTACATTTCAATAATATAGCTAAGGTGTAGGTTAACTAATATAGGTGAACCTCAAACGTTATTTCTTTGATTTTGCCTGGGATTTTATCAATTCAGTAGAGTATAAGGAGTTATCTTAGAACCAGAAGCTCTAATTAACAATTGATACCATTTATTAATTAAAAATAGAAAAGTTATTAAATAACAATCTTTGCCTGAAACATAAATGTGTTTTGTTTTATTCTCAGTAGTTTTTAACTTTACTAACGTTAACAGTAGGTAGGCATTACGTAGGGTTTTTTGTTGACTAACTCTACTAACCCTAATTATTAAAATGAATGGCATTTGGTCTATATATGAAATTTTCAGAAAATGAGGTAACTGACAGGAAAAAAACAATAGAATTGGAGCTAATGTCATAGAATGGTAGAATTTAGATTTGGAATCTACTTTAAGGATAATTGAGGTAAACCTCCATGCATGAATAGATGGGGTGCAGAGTTATTAAACATCTTTCTTCAAGCACATAGATTGCAAGGAGTCTTTAGATATTATTCATTAATGTTTCTAAATATCCTTTAATATCTGATTTTAGCATTTTATATTAGATGACAAACAAATTTTTTAGGTCTCTTTCTATGATCTGTGATTCTATATGGGCATCGTGGGTGTATTTATTTTAATATAGTATTTGAATATTTTATTGTCCATTGCCCCTATTTTAAAAAGTAAATTGAAAACTGATAAATGAAGACACAGATACTCATTAGGACAATACATCTTGTAAAACAGAATTGAGGTAATGGTGGAAAGCATTAAGCATCATCGTTGTAGACTGTTGTTAGCCTCAAGTGACTATTTGGAGCATAGTTAACTGTGAAGGATGACAAAAAAATTAAAGAAACAAAATGTTGGAAATATCTAAAGTTCTAACATTAAAGATAAAAGCAGGGATTAAAATTTTGTTGTTCTTTGAGAAAATCAATGTTCCATTTTCATTGATTTAATTTTTGCACTTTTTCTAGAGAACTTTATGTATTAAAATAGAAAACTGTGGGTATAGTTAAAGAGTGTCTTTTGCATTACTATAGTAAACACATGTTAAAATTCTTTTTCCTCAATTTGCAAATATCTACTTGATAGGACCTTGAAGTCACACTATTTTTAATTGTACATCTTATTTTAAAAACTCTATGATCCAAAGTGTAAATATTCTATTTCTTCTGGAATATGGAACTTATGGACCATAAGACCGAGTTTTTCTTCTGATTCTTCCCACAATTTATGTGGCAAGCAGCCTCTGACCTTCACTCATATTCCCCTTCCTTACCTCTCTTGGCACAGGTTCATAGGCTTATACTGTGATGATTACAGGATCATCTTTTGCTTACTGTCTGCCATGGGAATGTGGTGCAGTTGAGGAAGGAGAACTCTGCTGCTCCTTTCACTCCTAGATTAGTGGACTGATGGCTCTTGTCCCTAGGGGTTAGTAAATAACAACAAAAGTAGCAATGATAATGTTCTGGCATATGCAGTTTCCTAAATCCATAAGAAATTATATATGAAGACAGTGTTAGAATAATGGCAAAACAAACCTCCATTTTGGAGTTATACAAAAGAGATGAGAATGCCAATATCTCCTCTCCCAAGAAGGGACACAACTTAGAGACATTGCCAGTAAAGCCCCCAAAAGAAAATCATGATAGTCTGACTTAATATTTTAAGAAATGTCATAAAAGTATAAAACATCAAGAAGAAAAATTTGATGTGAAGAACATGAAACCATCTCTGGTAAATGTTAAGCTAGATTCTTTGTAGAATTTGAGCTCAAAAAGTCAAACAAGGGAGCTGGGGTGTAGCTCAGTAATAGAGTGCTTGTCTAATATGCACAAGGCCCTGGAATTGATCCCCAGCACTGGGAGGAAAAAGCCAACCAAACAGATTAAAGGGGTTAGGAGATAATTATTTTCTAGCAAAGTCAATATAGGAATGGTTGCCCCAAAACAACAAATGAAAGAAAAATTATTAGGCATACTGCATTTATTTCCTAGATGACAAATGTGAAGATTTGGTGTGTTCATGTGGGTGTATATATGTGTGTCCTATATCCATTGAATGGGTCAATTTCATAATATCTATAATGCCACTCACCTAACAGAGAAATTGTGAATTTAGTAGAAAAAGTAACTTCTGGGTTTTTTTTTTTTCATTTTCTCCAAATTCCTCAATGTATAGCAATGATAGAAAGCAGACCATGCTTTAAAATAATGTTCCCAACAGCATAAATTCTTATTAAACAAAACAAAACAAAACAAAAAACCCTAATCATGTACCATTCTGTTGGTGGTTTTTTTTAATCCAATACCATATCCAAAGGCTTCTGAAAGACAGATTTTGTTTGTGTTTCAAGTTATTTTTCCTTATAGTTTATTTCTATTGCAAAGAAACCAAATGTAATTAAAATAAGCAAGTAAACCATATATCGTCAACACTAATGAGACCTGAATTAAATTAGTCTTGTATGTTATTGCATTGGTTATCTTAAGGGGGAAAAATGAATAGATTTACAGAGAATATAACTCAATTCGAGTGACAGATTGGTTTGCAACGTAATACACAACATCTTTTCTCTGCAGGAAAAGTGTGGTATCAAGATAACCCATGTGATGAACTGTAGATGGACAGGGACAACACAAGTGACAAGCCATGTTATTTGTTTGACACCACAGTTTTCATTATGAAAACGAGAGCTGTGGGTGATAATGCATTGTTTAAAAAAGATCTAAAAGTACTTTCTTTTGGGGGGGGGCGGGGGCAGGGAGGGAAAAGCAGTGCTAGGGATTAAACCCCCGGGCCTCACACATGCTGAACAAGCACTCTACCACTGAGCCATATCCCTCACCCTAAAAGTACTCTTCTTTAAGTATTTGGGAAAGATGTGCTCTAACCTTAACAGTACTCTAAATTATGGAGAACAGGGTTTGTTAATATATCCATTTCCCACATAGGAGGCTTTAGAGTTATTTAAGACACTACACAGTAGGTAGAAGTATGGATTTATATACAAACTATCTGGATATTTTGACAATTCGCTTAATTGTGCTTCTTTTTAAATGTGTTTATAAATCAGAGTAAATTACTGAATTGTACAGTTTCTATTACAAATCCTACTAAGTTTTCTGATCGTATTGTATAATTTCTCTTCCTCGAAGGATATTATGTGAAACCGTAAAGGACTTCGTTGCCAAAGTAGAGAAGGCATATGACAGATCATTGGAAAATGCAGTTGTAGCGGACGCCGTGGCCAGTAAAGTAAGAGGGACACATCAGGGCATGCAAGTTATTTACTGACAATGGTAACATTGAATTGTATTTTAAAGCTAAATGGATTCCATGGTTTCTTTGCCAAAACATCTAAAGAAAAATTACTTGTATTAGACCATGAGGATTTTAAAAATACTCTAATTTATGGTTACCTTGTAATACTGCATCCTGGAAACAAACCATCGTCAAACCAAATTTTATAGTTCAAATCCCTCTCCCAGTGTTTGACATCTTGCCAGGTGATGTACAGCAATCAGGCCACAGGGAAGAATGCTGCACAGTTGGTGTTCCAGTGAGTAGAGGAACAGTTTTCTATTTCTAAACAAACTTTGGCTGGTCCATTTCTCTCCTAGCACAGGTCTTTGGATTCACTAGACCTTGTTCTCTTTATGGATTCCACCCTGCTTCATTATCTTTCTGATGCTAAAATAACAATAGTTTAATTATCTTAAAAGCCACTGTTTTTACTTTTGTAAGTTCATCAGAAGACCTTCTTACAAAAGGATTGGAAATCTTGGGCTTGCAAAGGACTTCACTCTCCCAGATTCATGCTTTAGATGGTAGTTTAATTGGGTAGAAGAAAAAGAAAAGGGAACTAAACATGCATTTGAAACGTTCAGCCACTTTCTCTACTATGGGGTTTCAGAAAATGGGAATCCTTTCTTAGCCATATTTTTGTCTCTAAACTCTTTCTACCAGAGCTCTGTCTCAGCATGTCACCAAAGACAAACAATGGAGAGTAAAAGGACTGGAAATTGTGTGGCCAGAAAAGCATTCATGGCTACAGTCCTAACTGTTAGATCTATTTTCCATCTCCACTAAAATTTAAATTAGGGGCTTCTTGAATCTAAACATCTACAAAATAAAAGATGATAGCCAATTGAATTTTAGAGTTTTTCTCTCTAGTGATTAAACATTCAAAACATCTTACATAAAAAATTCTTCCGTCTTGTCTGCTGATGTGACTTCCATTTGAATTTCTCCCTCCTTTCCCTGTTTTTGTTTTCTCAGTGTTCAGTCCTAAATGAGAAGCTTGAACAACTGCTACAAGTTTTGCACACAGAGCCCCAGCCTGATGCTGTCCTCTCCGCTGTCAGCCCTGTCGTCCTAGAAGAAGATGCTGTGGAATCTTCAAGTGAAGAATCCCTGGGCGAATGCAAGGACCAGCTCTCAGATGACATTACAAAGCCTTCCTCACAAGGAGCCATCAAACCCAGGGAAATAATGTTGCGGGCAAACAGTTTAAAGAAAGCAGTGAGACAAGTCATCGAAGAAGCCGGAAAAGGTACATGGTGACAAAATTAGCTTTAGAAGAAGTTGGCAGCATGGCTATTGCATGTGTGAGGGAGTTTTCACAATGGTCAAATGGGACGCACTTGAAAAAAGAATTGTATTTTTTTTTTTTTTTGAAAAAAATGCTTTTAAGACACCACAGAAGATAAATCTACTAAAAGGAAATTGTACTGGTCCTGTTTATTGTTTTGGTAATAAAGATCAGCACATTAATGATGAAATCTCAGAAATAAATTAAGCTGAAACATTACTATTTTAAATAGAAAAATCATTGAATTAACATTTCCAAAATTTTAAATATTTTTCACTTAGTTGGAATATATCAAATTCTTATAGAAAATCAAATCTGTAAACTACTTGAATATGTAGAAAATGTCTTCTTAACATTAATTTCCTTAAGTGTTTGAATGTTTGTTGGTTTCTAAAGCATATATAAAAACTCTGCCTATATGCCAATTTTTTATATTCATATATAGGATTCTTTTAGAATTTTAGTAGTAGACTAAAAATTAATTAAAATTAATTTGAATGATTAATGTTCAAAAATCTATTTATATATTTACATGTTGTAACTTGTAATTGGACTTGTATTTTCCTAAAATTTTTACATATTTTTAATTCTGGTAAATATGTAATTTTAGCAACTTTATTTAGTTTTATAATCTCTGGTACTTATAGGCATCACTCCCAAGCTTATTTCTAAATGGTGTTTAGTTGTAAGTACAAAGTATCTTTTGGTATATGTTTCAGTTTTACTTTCCTATGCATATCTTTAATGTGGGATGGATTTTATTTTCATTATCCAAACATGTTTGTCTTCTTACTACTTAAAGTTATGGATGAGCAGATGGTTCATTCCTGTGAACCAGTTAATCAATTATCTGACTGCAACAATACAGAAATAAGTGAATCTACTGATGATGATACCAAAGAGTTGTTAACTGGTAAGAAAACAATAACATCATTTGGAATTAAATAATATGTGAATTTTCTTTTAGTTATTTGCATTTTTATTTCTGAAAGGCTTTTTGGCAGTTAAGCTTAGATATACATGAATGCTAAAATGATAAAGATAATAGATTACTTAAATTGTTGCCAAATTCCTCTCTTATCATGTATTCTAGAGATAAGCAAAGGATTACGGAACCAGAGATGATCAAATATCTTGGTTTTCCTGAAGAAAAGGGAAGAAACACCTAAATCATTCAGCTTTAAGCTGTTTTAGTTCTCAGATTCCTTTGAGAATTATAAGAAAGCCACAGGCCTCACAAGCACAAAATTTAGCCTTTAAATTATTCAGCAGTCTCCTAATATCATTGATCAACTGTCTAGATTGATAATCCTTATTACTAAATTAAGCTTTAAAATCATAGCACATCTAGTTACAACCCTTTTTTTTAACCAAAATTCATTTTGCCAGGAAATTAAGAATATTACAATTTCTCTGCCTTTTAGCATTTAATTGAGGATGAATTTATACTTTTACATTGCCAAAGCAAAAAAAAAATTCTAATTTATTGAGATAATACAAAAGAGAAATTATAATAATAATAAAGATATTAAGATGATTCACATATTAATGTCCTCATGAAAGGTCAACATAATTATGTGAGAACTATTTACATTCAAAAATTTATTAACTTTTTGCTTTTAGTTTCTTTATATATAAATTTGGTCATATTAACCTCTCTGTGGCTTTTTCATCTGTAAGATGAAGATAATAACATGCCAGTTTCATTGGGTTGTTGTGAAGATTAAATAAGTTACTGTATATAAAGTGCCCAGCATTGTGTACACAGTATGGATGTTTGCTGTCATCATTATTATTTATTTTTTATTGATGCTTCTGCTAATTACTTTAACTTTGAAAGAGCATTCTTTAATTGTACTTAAACTACTTAGACTTTGAAATTTGACTTTCTGAATCACTGATGTTGAATATACAACTCAATCCATACTCTAGAACTCTGTTGACAGAGGATCACTCTATCTTAAATAGAAAAATCATTTAATCATGTTAATTATTTAATTATGATTATGATTGGCTGTAATTGTATTCTTTACTTGAAGCTTTCTGTTTTCTCTCTTAAATTTCAACCCATGATTATAGATGTTCTTAGGTTTTATGTATGGTGATGTTGACCATGACAACCACTGGCATTTGTCTAATGCTTTGTGATTATTTTAAAAAGCAGTATCACACTTGATATATCACTGTATTGGAGATGAATCTGCCTTCTAGAGCCATGTCTTATTCTTCTTTCATGTGGCAGCCCTTAAATGATACTGAAAATAGCTTTTATGGCACCATGTCCCCTTGTTGAATCTTATGTTTCCTCTTGCAAATGACCTGTGCTAAGTTTTTCTTCCAGATTTTAACTTAATAATTTCAATCCTCTTGGTTTTTTTTGACTATATCCATTAACATGGATGCATGTTAGATAATTTCTGTTAAGTAATAGCACATTGATACTCAAACACTACTAATTGTACACTTTGGGTGTTTGCAAAGATTATAGTAGTTTATACTCATTCCTATTTGGATCTATAATTTCATCCTGTCAAAATGTTTTGAAGGTTGATTCTATCGTCTCAGTTTTTTCTCATCTGTGAATGTGATAAGCAGGCCATAGATATTATCATCTATTAAAAAGTGTCAACTAAAGCCAGGTTGGCAATGGCATATTGACAGTCAGACTTAATAATTTTCCCCAAGATTACATCTGTCTTGGAGGATTGGTTTGTTAACAGTCAGGAATGGTCTTCCAGCCAGCCATCATCCCCCCTTTTCATATTATCATAAACTCAACACTTTCATTGTACTTAAAGCAAACTAAAATGTACAACTATAGTGCTATAGATATTGATATTGAGATAAACATAAATTTAGAAAAGTCTTTAATGTTGCAGCATTTGATCTTAATTTTGGCTAGTGACCCAACTTACTGGAAACTGGCCCTGGAGGAGAAGTGTTTCTGTATTCGGTAATCATTATCTTTGTTGAAGCACTCTCATTTTATCATTATTAAATTATATAATAATTCATATGTCTGAGATGTAAGAAATATATTAATATAATCAATGACATGCTTTATTTAAGAAGAACTATGAATCACTAATTTAATTACCTGCAGTGGAACATCAGTCTTAGTCATTAATACACTGTCTGCTCTCTATCAGAAATGAACATCAAAAAGTTCTTTTATTAAAAATTAGCCTCAGGAGTTCTATCTGTTTAAAAACAAAAAAGAGTGACTATTCTGTTACTTTTAGTACAGCTGGACTGTTTTGAATAGAATAGAGTGTAAGATTAATATAGTTAATTTGTAATTAGTCTGAGAAAAGAGTGAAGATAATTAAGTTTTAGAGTACTTTAAAATTGAATTTGCAGAGTACTGTTTTTTCCCCCCCTTAGGAAAAAATACCAACCAAAAGCCCCTAAATTAGTTAAAGGTACCATTTGCTCTTTGTTAAATTGCCTCAGTTTAGATAGAATTAAATCTTCCCTTTTGTTGTTTTCTTTGAGAGTAATTGTGTTTTGGAATAATTTTGGGAATGTTTTGTGCTTTTACGAGAATATAATAGAGCCATTTGGGACAAATCCATCATTTTGAATAAATAATTGAGGCAGGAAAAGTATATTGATTTCATTTGAAACTACTATTTTTTTCTTTCATTTTTAGAAGACAATGTTAACTTGTGTTTCACACATTAGTTCTGAAAATTAATTGAATGTGATCAGATACTCAATGTTTATGAGAAAAGTTCCTGTTAGTAGCTTATTTAATAACGCATATGTTCCATTTTCAAAATCATCAGTCTTCAAATTCTCTACTTTCAGTGTAGGTTACTGAATTTTAGTTATAGTAGATATCTATTTTCTATTGATCTCCATGTATTTAAGATCAGAGATCAAGACATCTACCTTGACAGATATCCTCTTTGTTTCAAGAAAATTAAAATGGTAAAAGAATAGTTAAATACAATTAATATTCTCTGTTCCACTGATTGATTTAAAGAGAGATTCAATTATTTCATGTCTTGCTAAATTTTATGCCTTCGTCATTTTCTCTTTTTAATCTGGACTTCTTTCTTGCCAACAGTTAAAACTTCACCTCAGTCTCCAGATGCCAGGGCATGTCGTGGCAATTCTCAACCTGATTCTGTCCCTGGTCCAGCTGCCACAGCCACCAAAGAAAACCTCCCTGTGCTCAATACCAGAATAATCTGCCCAGGTATTACAGATTCTGAAAGGAGTGCATTTTTAAGCTTTTCTGTGAAGCTGTGTAAATACTGATTTCCATGAACTATAGAAATGTGTTCTCAAAGGTAAATGTTCTTTTAGGAGAGTGTTTATAGTATATATAGATATATCAGTTTATAGTATATATTCTAGTGATAATTGCTTTGTTTTTGTATATATACAAAATATATATATATACTAATTTGTATATATATATTTTGTATATATACAAATTAGTCTCTCAGACTAATTACAAATTAACTATATTAATCTTACACTCTATTCTATTCAAAAACAAAGCAATTATCACTAGAATATATACTATAAACTGATATATCTATATATACTATAAACACATCTGAAACATCTATTTCATCCCTGATGAAATAAAGTTGCTTGGATTAGGCTAGTAGTAGAGAAACCAAATGATTATAGGTAAGAGATGGAGGAAAATATATGTGTTTCCAAGGCCTCCTTAAATGCCAGTTGTTTGACTTGATAAACATCCTTCAGCTTCATTCAGAGTAGGTTAGAATCTAAGTTAGACCCTGAAAACCAGAGTCTCAAACGTGTTCTTTTGAAAGATGAATCATAATTCAATAATAAAGTTGAAGACTTTGGCACCTTACTTCCAATAGTGGGTAGAACTAGATAGAAGATCAACAAGGAAATAGAATACTTGACACATAAAACAACCAGACCTGACAGATGTCTAAGAACACTCTACCTAACCACAGCAGAATACACATTCTTCTTAAGTGTTTGTAGAACATTCTCAAGGATAAACCACATACTAGGCTATAAAATATTTCTCAATAAAACTAAAAGGGTTAAATTACACAAAATATTTTTTTCCTGCCACAATGAAATGAAAGTGGATATCGATGAGAAGATGAAATTTAGGAAATGTACCAATATGTGGAAATATGTAGGTCAAAGAAAAAAAAATTACAAAGGAAATTTAGGCCAAATTTTTTTAGATGAGTGAAAACAAGAATATATACCATATCAAAATTTGTTTGATACAGCTTAAACGTACTTAGAGGTGAAATTTATAACTGTATATGCCTAGATTGAAAAAGTAGAACTATCTCAAATCAGTAACTTTAATAACTTGGAAAAAGAAGAGGAAACTAAATCCAAAGCAAACAGGATACAGCAAGTAATAAAGACTATAGTGGAAATAAACTAGAAAATAGAAAAAATCAGTACAGAAAATAAGCAAAACTAAAAGCTGGTTCTGTGACAAGTTCAACAAATAGACATATCTTTAGCCAAGTGAAAGAGAAAATGAGACAAGATTGAAATTACTAAAAATCAGGAATGAAAGAGGAAACATCATAGTAGACATTGTAGAAATAGAAAGGGTTATAAATTAGACAGCCTGGGTAAAATAGCTAAATGCATAGAAATACACAAATGCCTACCAAAACTGATTTAAGATGAAATAGAAAATCTGACTAGACTCATAACAAGATAATGAATTACTCAGTACTAGTTTGTAAAAAAAAAAAAAATCCTACAAAGAAGAGCCAAGCTCAAATTGCATCACTGGTGAAGCCTACCAAACGTTTTCAAAAGAATAAACAGCAGCCTTTTGCAAACTCTTCCAAAAAATAGAAGAGAAAGGAATACCTCCCAACTCATTTTATGAGACCCATGTTACCTTGATACCAAAGACAAAGACATCACAAGAAAATGCAGAACAATATCCCTTGTGAATATTGACACAAAAATCTGAAAAAAATACTAGCTAACTAAATCCAACAACATATCAAAAGATTTATACACCATAACCAAGTATGATTCCTTTGATGTGAGATCGAATCAATATATGAAAATATAAAATGTAATAAACCATATTAATGGAATAAAGGGCAAAAACCACATAGTCATATCAATAGACTTGGAAAAAAATTTTTTTAAATCCAACATCCTCTTAAAGTAAAAATGCTTGAAAAACCAGGAAAAGGAGGAAACTTCTTTATTTATGGTAAAGGGCATCTGTTATGCTTGTGTTGATGCAGGAAAATTCAGGTGTAAAATGATTAGATTGTGAGAACTGTAACCTAATTGGTGCATCCTAGTTTAGGTGGATGACTGGGTGGTGACTCTAGGCAAGTAGGAAGTGCCTGGAGAAGGTGGATCACTTGGGGGTATACCCTGGAAGGGTTTGTCTTCACTGCAGCCACTTCCTCCCTTGCTATCTCTGCTTCTACACACACACACACACACACACACACACACACACACACACACACACACACACACACACACACACCCTGCCATGATCCAGAGAAGCTTTCCACAGCTGAGCCCTTTTGCCATGATGTCCTGACTTATTTTAGGCCAAGAGCAATGGAGCTGGCAGTCTGTGGATTGAGACCTCTGAAACCATGAGCCTGGAAAAAAACTTTTCCTCCTTTAAGTTGTTTTTGTCAGGTATTTTGGTCACAGCACGAAAGCTTACTAAAATAGCATCTATGAAAAACCCACAATGAACATCTTACTTAATGGGGAAAAGCTGAAAGCCTTCCCAAAGATCAGGAATAAGATAAGAATGTGCAGTCTTGCCACTGCCATCAATATTTTACCAGAGATTCCAGCCTTGGCAGTTAGACAAAATAAAAAGAATTCAAGGCATTCAGAATGAAAGGAAGAAGGAAAACTGTATGTATTCATTAATTGCTCTTTCATATAGAAAATCCTAAGGGATACACAACACACAAAAACAAAACAAAACAAAACAAAAAAACAGTGAAAGCTGTTTATTTATTTTATTTATTGTTAAATAAATATAACAATAAAAGGATAAAAAGGTCAGTATGCAAAAGTTGTATTTCTATAGTTATATTTTTATATACTATAATTGAGCAACCTGAATATGAAATTAAGAAAAATTCATTTATAGTTGCATCAAAAATAAGAAAATGCTTAGGAATAAATTTAACCAAAAAAGTAAAAGACTCAAACTCTGAAAGCTAGAAAGCATGGCCAAAAGAATTTAAAGAAGACCTAACTAAATGGACTCACATCTAAGTTCATGTGTTAGAAGACTAAATATTATTGAGATAGCAGTATTTCTCAAATTGAACTACAGGTTGAACACAATTGCTGTCAAAATCCCCACTGTTAATTTGAAAAAATTGACAAACCAATTTTTAAATTCATATGGAAATGTAAAAGACCCAGAATAGACAAAATAATCTTAAAGAACAAAGTTGAAGGGGATACATTTCCCAATTAAAAAAAAAAAGTTACATCATACTAGAATAAGTACAGTTATATAAATCAATGAAGTAGATCTGAAAGTCCAAGAATAAATTCCTATATTTATGTTTAATTTCAACAAGTGTAGAAAGGCAATTCAATGGAGAAAGAATAGCCTTTTCCACCATTGGTATTGAGAATAACTAGATTTTACATGTAAAGATGAAGTTGGACCCAAGGGCTAAAAAGCTACCATAAAGACAGCAAAGGCATAAATGTTCATAACTTTGGATCAGGCAGTGGTCTCTAAGATATGACAAGAAGCACAAGTAGCAAAAGGAAAAGCTAGCCAGGTGCAGAGGTAATCTTTAAGTTGTTTTTGTCAGGTATTTTGGTCACCCACCTGTAATCCCAGTGACTCAGGAAGCTAAGGCCTGAGGGTCACACGTTCAAGGCCAGTCTGGGCAACTTAGTGAGACTCTGTCTTAAAATAAAAAGGACTGAGGATGAAGTTAAGTGGTAGAGTGGTCCTGGGTTCACTCTGCAGACCTGGGACAGAGCAGGGGGAGGAGAAAGGGAAAAAAAAATGTGATTCAAAGGACACTACCAAGAGAGTAAAATGAGAACTCAGGCATTTACAGATGATATATCACAATATATAAATAAATCTAAAAATTCAACAATGAAAGACAAATGTCCCAATTTTAAAATGAGACAGGTATCTGAATAGATAGTCTTCTCAAAGAAGATATACAAATAACGAATAATCAATAAGCACATAAGAGGATGTTCAGTGTGATTAATCATCAGGGGATTGTAAGTAAATGCCACAATGAGGTATCCCTGTAGCCCCTTCAGGTGGCTGTGATCAAAAGAGACTGAAGGGCAGAGAGTGTAGTGGAACTCAGTAGAGGAGCACTTGCCTGGCTTGGCCCTGGGTTCAGTCCCCCACTCCTGAAAATATCCTAAAAACAGAAAGCAAACAAACAAAAACCAGACAATAAAGAATATCAGCAAAGGTATAAAGAAACTGAAATGTTTGTACATTGCTGATAGATGCATAAGATAATGCAGTCATTTCGAAAAACAGTTTGATAGTTCCTCCTAAAACTAAACATTGAGTTAATATATAACCCAGATAACCCAACAATTCCACTACTGTACATATACCTAAGAAAATTGAAATGCATGTCTACACAAAAACTTGAACATGACTACTTCTGGTCACATTCACAATATCCCCAAATTGGAAACAACATATATATGCATCAGTTATTGGATAAGCAAAAAGTAGTAAAGTCAGACACTGGATTTGGACTTTAAAATAAAAATGAACATGGACAAATATTACATGATTCTATTTACATGAAATGTGCAGAATAGTCAAACTCATAAGTATACAAAGTAGAGTAGTGGTGTCTAGGGACTGGAAAGTGATGGCTAAGATACAGGGTTTCTTTTGCATGTAGTGAAAAAAAGTTACAGAACTAGATGGCAGTGTTGGTTGTACGATACTTTGTGCGTGTGCTACAAACAGCTAAAGTATTTAAAAAGTTCAAAGAGTGTATTTTATGGTGCATGAATTGTATCACTGTAATATATTGAAAGAAAGAAAGGTAATTCCAGAACTTGCCTGGCTTTGGCATAGAAGTCATATTTTCATTCTCTCCAGGAACACAGGGATGGCCCTGCTGGGCTGGAGCTCTAATGTTATCTTGAGACGTTTTAGAGAATATTACGCCTGCCTGTGGGTGTGAGAACTTCTCCAGATTGTTCTTTACTCTCACCAGATTTGTTGTTTTTTTTATCTCCATGTTTAGACATAAAAGGAAAATGATAGAGTAAAGCATCACATAGAATATCCAAGACTATGAAAATTAAAACTCATCCTGATAATTTGATACTCTGGAAAAAATTACTAATTAAAATAATGAATAATAATATCCTCTAAGAAGAGCACACTGTTGAGGGAAGGAAGGCTTGCCAAAGAGAGGACTTATTTTTCTAATTTCCTAGCATTTCTTGTTTTTGTTCACCCTTCTGTCCTTTCTTGTTTGTTCTCTTGGCCCGTATTACTTTGTCTTCTCTGCAGACTTTGGTGTTTCCAACCTTATATTAGATTGAGTAGAGCATAAAATTCATTAGCTTTGAATGCCATGAGTTAGTGAAAAGAATGTTGAAATCAACTGGGGCTTTTGCATATTCAGAGGTAAGATAGGTGCTTTTATTTTTTTATGTTCAATACTATATTCTTCTAAAATTCATAAATACCTGCATTTAGTATTTTCCTACTTATTCTTGACAGTAACACTATTTACTTTAATACACCTCCTAACATTTTAAGTTATTATTATCTACACTTTTGAGAGTATAAAGGTGGTAACTCCAAAATATATTGGGCAATTCAGGCTTTATTGTAAATTCCTCATAGACTTATTACATTATTTGCTATAATAAAGAGGTAATATGTATTTATTTGTTGAAGTCATAGAATTGCTAGGATGGTAAGAGAAAATGTCATGAAGAGACTTTTGTTAATATCCTCATCTCCTCAATTTATGACTATAAAGTTTTTGGAAGCACCAAAAACTTTATAATCATAAATTTCATAGTTCTTAGTTTGGGTTAATAAGATGAATAGGCACTGAAAATCATACTCTAGGAGCAAGATGTTTGTGATTAGGCGTGAATTGACTGGTTGTTTCTCTTTTTCCTTAATGTGTGATGCTTTATGTATTTTCTGTTCAGGTTTAAGAGCAGGACTAGCTGCTTCAATTGCTGGGAGTTCCATTATCAACAAAATGTTACTAGCAAATATCGATCCTTTTGGTGCAACGCCATTTATTGACCCGGATCTAGATTCAGTGTAAGAAAATGTTTTTGCAATTATTTTTCTTTTGGCTTTTCTTATTTCTTCATCATGTGAATTATAAACATATATGTATCATGATGTATGGCTCCATATACAAAAAGAGTGATCAGAAAATTTGGAAAGTTGATAATAAAAGGCACATTAAGCCTTTGGAAATTCAGTGGTGTCTCTGGTCTGTCCAGAGGCAGTCACTTTCCCACCTGTTCTCTTCGAGAGCACATTCTGGGAGAGGAAGCACAGGTCTGCTCACTTCTCTCTGGAGGCTTTCACTTACAGGTGCCTTTACACCTGTATTTCTGCTGTTCCCTTCCTCTTCTTTCTTCTCAATCTTCGCCAAATCTGCCATCTTTTCATACCCAGCTTCTAGATTTTCTAATTTTGGGAGCTTTTATCACATACTGACCTCTTCCCTTCTCAAAATTTCTATATTTTTAGCAACTCAAGTTATAATTTTGGGGGGCTGGGGTTGTAGCTCAGTGGTAGCACACTCGTCTGGCATGTGTGAGGCACTGGGGCACATGTTTGATCCTCAGAACTACATATAAATAAATAAACAAACAAACAAACAAATAAATAAATGCATTGTGTCCATATACAACTAAAAAAATATTTTTTTACAAAAGATATATTTTTTCTTTCCATTTGGCCTTTGTTATATCACACTCCATAATGACATTCCTCAAAGTACCATATTTTGAACTTCCAACAGTACTTAGAAGAATGGATTGACTCTAGTAGCTTTTTATGCATATATTTTCCCATTGTTAAGAGTCAAAGGGGGAGAAGACTTTCTAATGGTTGAAAAAGAGGAGTAAGGCCACCTAACTACCAGGCCCTTCCCATAACCGTCTTCATCTATCTGGTGCAAGAGACTTATAGAGAAAATAGAAGGATTGAGACTTTGTTAAATTTAATAGAAAACAATCCCTTACTCTGTCTCTGCTTTGCCTTGCCCTTTATATCACATGTACCAAAAATTGTACACATGTACTATGGCTATACACATGGCATATATATATATATAGGAAGTAATTCCTACCAAGCTTTATAATCTTCTGTAAGGAGTAGAAGCTTAACTGATTTTAAGTGCTGTTTCGTGAACAAATTTAATTGTTATAATGAACCTGAAATTAACCTTTATGTACTTTTCCTTATTCTCGAAGAGATGGATATTCAGAAAAATGTGTCATGAACAATTACTTTGGGATTGGATTGGATGCAAAAATTTCATTAGAATTTAATAACAAGAGAGAGGAGCACCCTGAAAAATACAGGTAATTTTGAAAATAATGTTATCACCTGAAGGCGGTTTTTACTTTAATTTTATTCATTTCTTTTGCTTGCTCTGCCTTCATGGAGTAAACTTTCCTGAGATGTCCACGGATATTTATTTTTAGGAGCCGAACTAAAAACTTGATGTGGTATGGAGTCCTTGGGACCCGGGAATTATTACAGAGATCATACAAGAATTTAGAACAAAGAGTTCAACTTGAGGTAAGTTCATGTTGAAGTAAAGACATTTCACATTATCTTATTTAGAAAACTATTTTCATCTGTAGGGCTAATATGACCTAAATTCCCCTTGATTAGTGATTAAATGTTCAGGAGGAAAAAAAGACCAAGGGAGTGACTTTTTGCTAATGTAGGTATAAACACTGGACATGAACCCACACTTCACCATTGTTGTCAGTAGCTCCTGAAAGTGGAGTCGCAGTGCCCAGGAAAATGTGGAGTCATGGGAGTACATTTATAGGATAGGGTTTTTAGTGGACTTTCTCATTTCAGTTTCCCAGTTCTGACTCAGTTCTGTAATACCCAGAGTTTCACAAATCCCTTAAAATAACTTTTATACGAAGTACAGTCTTTTAATTTAAAATATGTATTTATTTTTGTTCCAATTATTTCTAATAGCAAGTCAGTAAAAGAAAAAGATTTTGAGCATTTAGGTTTTTTTCATTATTTTTTTTACTGATTTAAATAGGAAATTAAAAGATTTTAAGTCTTCTTTGATCACAGAAAAAAAATTAAAAAGGTTGGGGACATGGCTCAGCAAATTCAATTAAACTGTGAATTTCATTTTCTTCTACCCTTGGTTCAGTCTCACTGTTTATGATGACAGGTGTGTCTTTTGTATCTTGTATCCTTTTATAACCAGATATTTTTAAAATATATCATTTAGTTGATAGCAATTGAGCCAGTCACCTCTTTAGTTCACATTCTTGTTATGGTAACACTTAAAATAACAATGCTTGGTTTGATTTACTGATCAGAATATTTCAGACCTAAGATTTATATATTTTCCTGTATGTATGATATACTTTTAAAAGCATTGGATTTTGTGGGGGAGGAGAGGTTTTTTTTTTGTTGTTGTTGTTGTTGTTGTTGTTGGGATATGGACTAAAGAGGTGCCTGGCTCAGTTGTTATCAACTGAATGTTATAGTGAAGATAAAGACTTCCACTCTAAAAGTATAACTATGCAATTAGCTGGTTCCATTATCAGTGCTTGTTAAATTAAGGTAGAGATTACCAAATGAAAAGGCACACTCATACATTGCTGGTAGGACTGCAAATTGGTGCAGCCAATATGGAAATCAGTATGGAGATTCCTTGGAAAACTGGGTATGGAATCACCATTTGACCCAATTATCCCACAGCATACTACAGGGACACAGCCATATCAATGTTTATAGCAGCACAATTCACAATATCTAACCTGTGGAACCAACCTAGATGTCCTTCAGTAGATTAATGGATAAAAGTAATGTGGTATATATACATAATGGAATATTATTCAGCATTAAAATAATAAAATCATGGCATTTGCAGGTAAATGAATGAAGCTAGAGAATATAATGCTAAGTGAAATTAGCCAACCCCCAAAAACCAAATGCTGAATAATTTCTCTGATTTAAGGATGCTAATTCATAATATGCTGTGAGTGTGTGTGTGGGGGGGTGAGGATTAAATGAACTCTACATAGGGCAAAAGAGAAAGGGGGAGGGAGGTGATGGGGGGAAATAGGAGTAGGAAAGATGGAAGAATGTGATGGTCATCATTACCCTAAGTACATGTAAGAGACAGAAAGGATGTGATTCTATTGTGTATAACCAGAGATATGAAAAATTGTGCTCTCTATGTATAATATGAATTGTTATATATTTGGCTGTCATGTATAACAAATCAAAATTTTTTAAAAAGATGCAAAAATCAGGAAGGATCACATTTTGTAAATGCTATTTTTCACAGCCTCATCACCAGATCAACTTAGGTGTCCTCCTGTGTCTTGTGTATTATAATCCTTCCTTTTCTAATTATGTCTCGTCTCTGGTTGTTCACACTCCATAAGAAAAGGTAGGGAGCTGTGTTTATCTTTGTTTTCTCCAGCACTTAGCATAGCACCTAACCCTTTCTTGAGGTGTAAATGAACAGGTAAATGAAGATTTAGTGTAATTTGGTAAGATGGGGTTATTAAACTCATTATAAATTGAAGCTGTAATTCAAAAATGATACAATACCCCTAACCTACCAAGCATCATAGCTTAAGTTTGCCTACCTCAAATGTTACATTAACCTACAGTTGGACAAAATCACATAGCATAAAGCCTGCTTTATATAAAGTGTTGATTATCTGATGTAATGTATTCAATACTATACTGAAGGGAGAAAACAGAATGATTTGGTATACTTTTACAAGCTGTTCTGTGATCAAGCCCTATGACTGACCATCTTTAAAGTTTAAGGAATTATCTGGAATCAGAATGTCTGGTGGGTCTTATTTCCTGCAAGAAACTTGGCTCTACAAACATAGATTTGCCACTTCTTCTTGATGCCCATGTTATTAACAGGATATCTTACTCTTATACAGCTGCTTTTAAACTCCATTTAAAAAGGTTCTGAATCAGTAGACCCTTTGACATTCTGGTAAAACTCTGGACCCCTTGTACAAATGTTTTTGAAATGCATTGTATAAAATACATAGAAACCAATAATATTAAAATAAATTAACAAAAAAAAATTTGGAGGGAGGAGTACTGGGGATTGAACTCAGGGGCGCTCTACCACTGAGTCATATCCCAGCCCTATTTTGTATTTTATTTAGAGATAGAGTCTCACTGAGTTGCTTAGCACCTCGCCATTTGTGAGGCTGGCTTTGAACTCTTGATCCTCCTGTCTCAGCCTCCTGAGCCACTGGGATTACAGGTATGCACCGCCACGCCAGGCCAAAATATTTTTAAATTGTTTGAAATTAATGTATGTTTCATTGCCACATCAAGTGAAAATCTAGTGGCATGTCTAATAAATACCATAATTTTAAAGAAATGATGAACATAAATGATATCTGAAACATTTGTAATATACAAAAAAACCCTGTATTTCTATTGACAGTGAAATTACAGGTATTGCTAATGCCTATTTGTTGTCTACATTTATAACTGAGGACAATGCTAAATTCCAGAGGTTAGTGAACATAAAAGTTTTATTTTTATCATCAAGTTTAACAGTCCTCCTGAAACTATTCATGGACCCTGGGTTTCTGTACCTCAAGTTAAGATCCTTGATATAGAATTGTATGTTAAATGATTCATGAAGAAACAAATTAGTAAAACAAGACATATAAAAACAGAAAAATTAAAAGTAGAGAATTCGCTGGGCCCAGTGGTACATGCCTGTAATCGCAACAGCTCAGGAGGCTGACACAGGAGGATCACAAGTTCAAAACCAGCCTACAAATGGTGAGGCACTGAGCAACTCAGTCCCTGTCTCTAAATAAAATACAAAATAAGGCTGGGATGTAGCTCAGTGATCAAATGCCCCTGAGTTCAATTCTCAGTTCCCCCCCCAAAAAAAAAGTGGAGAATTCTTTGCCATTTAAAGTAAATGAAGGAACACCTTCTTTGCCCAAGAATAACAGACCATGGAAGGCCTGTTGTCTACAAATTAATTTCCCTGATATGATGGTTCACTTGAGATAAAGGTGAAGAGATAGCCCCATCTTTGGAAGCTCTTTCCAGAGAAATCTCTGCATCAGTGTCAGTCCAGAATATTGTGGTATGAAAGAAGACTGATTTCGGGGCTGGGATTGTGGCTCAGCAGCAAAGCGCTCGCCTAGCACACTCGGAACCTGGGTTCAATCCTCAGCACCACGTAAAAATAAAGCATTGTGTTGTGTCCATCTACACCAAAAAATAAATATTTTTTAAAAATAAAAAAGAAGACTGATTTCAAGTCTCAACTTTGAATTTGTATGGAAGAAAGACTTTGGTTTCTCTGTCTACATAACAAATGAAATAATGCTTCTGTGCAAATTATAATTCAGTGAGCTAAGGTACAAGAAATAACAGTGTGAACTGAAAAGAATTCTAGATGTATAAATTTTGTTTCCCAAGCCATCAATTTTGGTTCTGATATATACCCAACTTTCAGAATCATTGACTGAGATTTATAATCTTTTGGGAATGCCAAAAATATAAGATAAAATCACAGTAACACATCTTGCTACTCTTATGATAGAGAAGTCCTTGATACTCCCATCTCAGCCTCCCAAGCTATTGGGATTACAGCTATAAATAGGAAAATCTCATTAAATTTTTAAACATTTTGATTAAGAGTGGTTGACTTTTTGCCTATAATATACCTAACTTACATGTGTCAAGGAGCTTTTCCTATTTATTAACTGAAATAATGATTGCATACTGTTTTGAATCCTTTAAATACTAAGATAAAATGAAGAAAAACAAGTCATTTTTAAAAAAACAAGATCCATCTGTAAGCTATAATGAAATAGGTGTTGGAGAACAAATATTTGTTTAATGCATATTTTTGGTTACTTAAACTATTTCTATAATCTGTTTATACTTTGTAAAACCTAAATAAATTTTGGTTTATTAGATAGAAATAGTGATTTCTATCTTTGTTTAGTTTACTTCAATAATAATTAGTCATAACTACTGGTTAAATTATTTTATACTAGTTGAATTTTACTGAATTCTGTCTATACCATCACATTTAATTGTTAGAACTTTATGAGTTAGGGCCAAGCCTACAATCCCTGTGACTTGGGAGGCTGAGGCAGGAGGATAGAAGTTCAAAGCCAGCCCCAGCAACTTAGCAAGGCCCTGTCTCAAAATAAAAAACAATTTTAAAAAGGACTGGGGATGTGGCTCAATGTTTAAGTGCCCAGGGTTCAATCTTGGTACTTTACATAGTAGGTATTGTTATTCAGTTCAGAGGAGGAACTTGCCTAAGATCAAACAGCTGATAACTGAAGGAGCCATCACTTCAAATTCACTGCTTTGTTACCATAAAACAATATGTAATCATGACTAAAGAAGGAAATTCACTGACTTCTGACTATGTGTTCTAGATGCTTTCCTATACCTCATTTCATTGGCCACACTGTTAGCAGTTATTAACCCATTTAACAGTTGAGCAAAATGAAGCTTTGAAAGTTTAAGGGACTTACTCAAAATACTCAGTGAGAGAATTCAAACCAAGCCCACGATCTTTCCACTATCCCACATTGCTTGGTCAGAGTAACAGAACAGGACAGATACATTTATAGACACACACACACACACACACACACACACACACATTTGTCCTATTCTATATATATACACATACACATATATATAAATAATATATATACACACACATATGTATCTTTCCTATTCTATACATATACACATACATAAATATATATACACACATGCATACACACATATGCAGATACACACACACACACATATGGAGACAGGTATGTATGTGCATGTGCATATCTGGAGTCTCATGGCATTTTGCAACATCATGAACCACAAATGGAATGTGGGATGAATGGGACAATTATAAAAGGATATAATACTCCCGAAGTTCTTCCTGAATATAAGAAAGTTTTTGGTCATGTGATCCTAATTTGTCAAATCTGTGCTGCTTGTGTTTTTTCTATGAGACTCCATGACACAGACATTAAGTACTTCACTTGTGTTTTGCTTAATATATAATGTATTACATTTGGCAGTATACATGGCACTTCCTTCTGAAAATGTTCATCTTATTCCATTCATGCTTGCAAATAAAGTGCATCCATTAAACAGTTTGAAAATTACTTCTTTTATATTTACAGAGACAGCATTATTTCCATTTCCTTTAACTTAGTCATATGAATGAAAACAGCTCTTTCTAAAGCACACAGATACCAGTTTAATGTATTGAATTTAGAAAAAGTTCATTATTCTACTAAGTAATTAATATTCATTTAACAAGTATATATTCAGTACTAGCTATATGCCAGGCATGGACTTGAGTGCTGGGTTACAATGTAGACCTGTAAATATTGAATACTCAGCCTGTCTACTGGTTAACACCGTATCTTCGGGAAAGGAAAAGAAATTGTAAAAATCTCATGTAGAGGTAAATAAAACATATGAGGTCTCAATTATACCAGTGGTTAAAAATGGATTCAAACTAGATTCTCATTTATTCTAAATGTTAAAGACAATTTTGATTGGGCATTAAAATGCCATTTTTAATATGAGACTTATTTAATGGAGGTATAGAATCTATTTTAAATATGACATTTTTAAGCTTTTCTCTTTTTAAATAAAGCTTAAGCTGGCATTGTGGCACAGGCCTATAATCTTAGCAACTCAGGAGACTGAAGCAGGAAGGTGGCAAGTTTGAAGACAATCTGGGAAAATAAGTGAGACTCTGTCTCAAAATAAAATGGACTGTGGGTGTACCTTGGTGGTAGAATGCCCCTGGGTTCAACTGCCAGAACTGAGCACGCCCAGACACACACACACACACACACACACACACACACACACACACAC